AGACTCTCCATAATTTTTAAAGGGTGTTTCAGGACTGTCCATAATTTTAAAGGGTGCATTGACTGAAAAAAAGGTTGAGAAACACCGATATAGTGTCAGAGTGTCTCAGAATGAAAGATGGGCAGAGGTTCACCAATCAGTGAAGAGCTACATCTAAAAAGTGTCAATTTCAGAATAATGTTCCTCAATGTAAAAATTAAAAAGACTTTAAATATATCATCCTCTACCGTACATAATATCATCAAAAGATTCCAAGAATCTGGAAAAATCTCTGTGGGCAAGGGACAAGGCTGAAACACAATATTGGATGCCTGGGATCTTCAGGCCCTCAGATAGCACTGCATTAAAACAGGCATGATTCTATAAAGAAAGAATATCAGCAAGCACTTAGTGAACAGAGAATTAGCTATGCACTAAAAAGGAAACCAAAAAAACCCTTCAGAGCAACTAAGATAAGAAAGTGCAGGGCTAAGCAAGCTATATAAATATAATAAAATGGTGAGATAATATAATAAGGTCAATAAAGTGTATGGGCCACGTAAAAACCATAAATGAACATCATAATATAATCATTAAAACCATAGATAAAAGTCCATAAATAAATTAAAAATCAAGGGTCATGCGTGGGCCCCTAGGTGACGCAATTAATCCCAGTGGTAATCCAACATCCAGCTAAATAAAGGAGTATTCACTCAAGGCTATTTACACTTGTTCGTAGTGGAAACACATATTGCCACAATGCTTGGCCATGCACATGCTCTATATGTGCTGCCGTTCTATTGATTGTGAATAGTTCCCCAACATATTGTACAGTAGATTGCAGTACTCGATGCATCACATTTCTTAAAAAAGGTCATGTGTGCTTTTTCATCCATTGTAGTTCGTTGACGCCTGTTCATAAAAAATGAGCTGTTTTAACGCAACCTATGTTTACGCATGCCGTAACTCGAGTTAACACAAAGAAATGGATCTCCTATGTGTGAATGGCCCTTAAAGGAAAAGTTTATCTTTGGGAATATATGTTACATGTTCCACCCGTTTTTAGGGTGGCCCCCTCCCTCTGACAGATAATACGAGAAGTTTCCCCATACTGTCAGATTTGAAAACAGCACAGTCGTGTGGGGCTCCACACACAGAGCCACGTCATTCATTCACAGACTTCCGTGAATGAATGAACTGCAAGTCCTGACAACCTTAGAGGCTGTGGGTTTGTAGTTTTCAATGAACTACCACGGCGCTGTGAAGTGCCGTGGTAGTTCATTGAAGCTTCCTGTCAGAATATCTGCTTGGCCATACATTCCTTATGGCAAGTAGATATTCTGACAGGTCTGCAGGAGACCTGCATGGCATCAGCGATCTACAGATCGGTGTAATGCTTTACAGGCTTCTTTGGACAAAAATAATAAATGCACATTTTTTTTACCTGCAAAAAAAATGCACATGTATTATCTTTGTCCAAAAGGTGAACTTATTCTTTAAAAGTTACATTTCATCTATGGATTGATTGTGGTGGGGGTAAATCACCTTCATGCTTCTTACATCTTATGGTGGCCATACATGCTTCGACTTTGTTATCTGATCAATGTGCTATTAGATCGACACAATGAAATCGGCAAACAATCAAATAGGCATAACTTCTCTTTCAATTGATTTAAACTTGATTTAGATTAGATTCAATCAAAAAGAGGATTGCACAGGGTGAAAAACTGTGCACTGAACAAAGCATGTGTGACCATTATAAGGCTCACCTGCAATGACAGGTATGGGTCATTATGTGCCCAGGATGAACATGCCAAACTGTGCCACATTATGTATGAGCAAAATTTGTCAGCAAAAATCCCCCCCCCCCACAAAGAAAAAAAAAAAAACAAATCGAGCACTAATCTGCATGCTTACCCCCAAGCATAAATACCCCCTGCTCCGAGTACAAATCCAACCCCTTGCTGGAATCCTACTCCCGGCAGAAATATTTGCCCCCGCATCTGTTTCCCCCCAATCACCCCCTCCTAGCACAAATTTACCCTTCAAATTTCCTCTCCCAGCACAAATCCTCTCCTCTACACCCCAAAGCCCCCTCCCAGCACAAATACTCCTCCCCCCCCCCCCAAATTTCCTTGCTTAGAACAAATACCACCCCCCAATCATCCCTATTAGCACAACTCCCCCCCCCCCCCCAAAAAAAAAAAAATCCCCTTCTAGCACAAATCCACTCCCCCTCTACCATATGACCTCTCCGAGCACAAACCCCGCAGACCCTCTTCCCCATCCACCCTCCTAACAAAAATTCCCCAAATCACCATTTCTAGCATCCCCACCCACATTTCCCCTCCTAGAACAATTCTTGTACCTTGCCTCACCACAAATTCCTCCTCCCAAAACAAATCCCTTCCTCCCAATCTCCTTGCAGCGCCCCCCCTACCACCCCACATGCCCCACCTCACATGATACCACAGTGCCCAGGGCAGCTGCCCCTCCTGTCCACCACTTGTCCCGGCCTTGCTCACTTGACATGTTGAAATCTGACTGTACAATCTCTGTGCAATCACCCTTGGATCTACTAAAAAACTCTGAAGTTTGAGGACCTACCCAATCTATTCAATCAATGTGAATTAATTCAGGCAGACCAGTGCACTACATCAAGGTTTCTCAACCAGAGTTCCAGGGAACCGTAGGGTTCCTCCAGTAGTTTCTAGGGGTCCCTTGAGAAATTAGCAAATTGTGCCTCTCAGATTAGTTTCCACTGACACCATTGGTCTTTTTAGCTATCTATAAGGGGGTTATTCTCCCCAGTGACCACACGTGTAAGGAGCATTCTTTCCACTAACCATCACACTACTGTATCATGACATGTAGATATATAAATTATTAGCAGGGGTTCACTGAGACCAGAAAGTTATTTCAAGGGTTCCTCTTTGTTGAAAAGGTTGAGAAAGGCTGGTCTACATACTTGTTGGTAGATCTAAAATAGTGACATAGAGGTCAGAGGAAAGAACATGGTGATGGACACATTCAACTAAACATTCTCGTATAAATTGACGATGGAGGCCACAGAGTTGGATCAGAGGGGACGTAGAAGACATGAGCTACCAGAGATGACGATAATGGCTTACCTCTTGTGCAGTACTAGAGGTATGACTTTTTTTTTAGAAAATGACAGGGTCTCTTTGGTAATAATTGGATCACCCAACAGATGTATTCATGAAGCTCGCTTCCATCTTTGACAAACAGAAACACAACTCTACAAGGAATAAAGTCATGAAAACAAATAGAATGGTGGTTTGTTTGTTGCCAGATTGTAATGCACACTGGGACTACTTTAAGTTAAAGTAGGGCCTACTATATACTACACTTACATATTCTCCAGTGCTGTCCCCCCCAGACTCATCCATTCAGGGATCCAGCACTGGACTTCATCCAGCACCCAGAATTATGTAACCCACATCTTGTGAGCTCAGGATGTCATGGTTACTCCTTTCACCCTAGATTTACAGGAGAAAGTTACAGCGAATGGCGCTACATTATGACATGGTAATTCTCTCTGCAGCATGTCGGATCTGCCCACACTGCTGGAGTGAAGAAGACTGGAGAGATCACTGAACCAGACTGAGGACATCTGAAAAAAAGGATGGTAAAAAGATTTTTTTTTAAAAAAAAGTCCGGAGGTGCTCAAATGGAGGGGCAAATGGGGGTACCCATTATAGAATAGGGCTTTATATGATCTCACATTGGGGATGAGGCTACAGAGCCGTAGTGCCTAGGGACATTCACACCCCAGGAAGTGTTAGGAGAAATTTTGGGCAAATGGTATTTTTGGTATAATGGTACTGCTTAAAGTGTTACTAAACCCAGGACCCTGCATTCACTATATCTGGTCTCCCACAGTGCACAGAACATGTAAATGCAATTATTTTAGTAAATATTAACTGCTAAATACCTTCTCATCAGCAGTATATTGCAGTCTTGTGATTTCTATCAGTGTCTGGCCAAGCACTGGTTAAAGTTTGTAGGAGGAGTTTTTATTCTCCTCTGACTGTCCTATGAGGCTGCATAACCTCTGACCCTCTGCCTAGACAGTGCTAATTGGCTCAGTACTGATCGCATGCACTCTCCAAAAAAAACTCTAGCAATACACATGAAACTGATTATGTGCAGAGTGTCTCCTAGGGCTCTGTACTATCAGCAAAGTGGGGACAGCAGAAGAAGGGGAGGATCAGAGAAGACAGGATCAAACAGCCTTTCTACACAATGTGGAGGATTAACCCCTGATGAGTGAGTATAACAAGTGTGCTGTACTGCATATACAGACTGATTTTATTGCTGTGGGGTTAGTAACACTTTAACCCACTTCCTGTCCGGACACTTTTACCCCCTTTCCTGTCCAGGGCAATTTTCAGCTTTCAGCGCTATCACACTTTGAATGACAATTGCGCGGTCATGCAACACTGTACCCATATGAATTTTTTACCATTTTTTTTAGACAGATAAAGCTTTATTTTGGTGGTATTTATTCACTGCTGGCATTTTTATTTTTTTTGCTATGTAAATGAAAACGTCCAAATTTTTTTTAAAAAAGTGTTTTTCTTATAAAATTTGGCAAATAAATAATCTTTCATCATAAATCTTGGCCGAAATGTATTCCGTTATCTTTTTAGTGAAAAAAAAAAATAAGCCAAATTAATTTATAACCAAAAATTATAATTTTTAAACTTTTTTTTACATTTTTATTTTATTTTTTTATATTATTATTTATGTTTTTTTTTTTTTTGTTTTTTTTTACATACTGTCACCCTAGCAGTACAGAGTCACCATGGCGACACTGTACTACTTGTGCGGGGTGATGAAGATTTTTTTTTTTTTACAGTGATTGCTTTTACACCCATATAGGAAGTAAAAGCAATCATTTCTCTTTCTCTCTGTCTGCATTCTTGCAGCCATTGAGAACTACTGAGTGAGCTGGGATTGGTCACAGCTTGTCACATGGTACAGGGCTGTTGTGAATAGCCTTGTACCATGTGACCTCTGTGATCATTCACAGATTTCACACGTAGTAAGCAATGATGTTACAAGTGACATCTTGCTTACTACTTTGCATGTGATCACTGATTGGCCAATCAGCAATCACATGATCGGGACCTCGTACAGAGGTTCCGTCCGACGACCGGCATTTCACTGTGTCCGGTGCTGCGCGCTCCCAGGGAGCGCGCACACCAAAAAATGGCAGGTGCCGTTTATGAACAGCAACCCGCCCCTGGAATGCCACCATCCTGCTGTTTATAAACAGCAGGCGGATGGCAAGTGGTTAAGCACAATTCATGTTTCTAGATATTCCCTACAAGATCCTCACTGTTTGAGTTCAGGTCCACTTTAAAAGACAACATATTTTCAGCAAACTTACCAGCACCAAACAAATAGAAGTCCGGCGATTTTCATTATTTAAACAGTATTCCACCCTTGAAAGATGACTTCACCTCTTTAGCACACAACAACAGAGTCCTCATTCAACTGTCTGCATCGTTCAGCTGACTAAAGCTTGTCTTAAACGGAAACCTGTGCTAAAAGAAATACATCTGAGTACGGTGTAGGTTGCATCCTTTTTTATTCACATACTGGTGAGAGTAATAAACTATGAAGAAATGTAGGAGGTTGCTGCCACCTATTGACGCTATATGGCATTACACTTCACTATATTTCATCAATAGAGCAATTTTATTTTATTTATTTACTATAGGTATATATATATATATATATATATATATATATATAGCGCAGACAATTTACACACTGCTTAACATAGTATTCACATTAGTCCCTGCCCTTAAGGAGCTTACAATTTAAGCTCCCTACCTCACATACATACACATACTAGGGCCAATTTAGACAGGAGCCAATTAGTCTACTAACATGTCTTTGGAGTGTGGGAGAAAACTGGAGTACCCAAAGGAAACTCATGCAAATACAGCAAGAACATACGAACTCCATGCAAACAGTGTCCTAACTGGGACATGAATGAGGAACCCTAGTGCTACAAAGCAGATGTGCTAACCACTAAGCCAATATTTATGATTTTTCTGTGTGTTTTGTATGATATTTTAAACACTTGACCATTTTAAAGCTAATTCCTATTCTGACACACAATATTTTATTATCTTATTACTGAATTTATGACTGATTAGAAAGATAGCTTTTCATGGTATAATTTTTTTGTTATTTTTTATCACTTAAGAAAAAGTTCTTTATCTGTTAAAAAAAAAAAAGAAAAGTTTTTTTTTTTTTTTTAACTTTAAAGTGATTGAAAAAGTCTCAGTTTTGTTTACCTTAATTCATTCTCTGCATTAAGGTAAAAAACCTCCTGCTAGCAGCCCTCCCCAGCAGCACCGTAAATATTTACCTGAGCCCAATCTCAACCCAGCTCTGTGCATGAGAGCAGAGGTCTCTCTCTCCTCATTGACTCAGATACAGCAGCGGGAGCCATCGGTTTCCCACTGCTGTCAATCACAGCCAATGAGGAGGGAGCTGGAGTGGGGCCGAGCCACGCTCTGTGTGCCTTATAGGCACACATGGTCAGCTCGGGAGCTAGCATGTACGAGTGCCCCCATAGAAAGAGGCTTGCTATGATGACACTCAGCATGAAAGAGGGGCCAGGAACGCTGCCGAGGGACCCAAGAAGAAAAGGATCAAACCATTGCACAGAGCAGGTAAGTATAACAAGTTTGTTGTTTTTTAATATATAAAATATGAGCCTTCACAATCCCTTTAATGCATTCTTTGCTTTAAGGTAAAAAAAAACCCTTCCACTCTCTGTTCCTTTCTTCCCCCTCCCAAAACATTTACCTGAGTCCTCTCTCAATGCAGAACTGTGTCCATCTGCAACACCGCTCCCTTTTTTTCTTAGTCTCACATGCACACTGAGAGCAGCTAGAGCCATTGGTTCCTGCTGCTGTCAGTCAAATCCTGTGAGGTGGGAGCAGGGGGCCTGGCTGAGCCCTGCTGTGTGTGCCTATGGGGACAGTGGAACAGTGGAAGAGCAGACAGCACTGGCAAACGGCTGCAGAAGAGGAGGTAAGGGACCACTCTGTGCTGGTAAGTATAACCTCTTTTATTTTTTTAAGAAAAGAGGGGAGCCTTTATTATCAATTTAAATATTTTAATCATGTGTTTTTTTTTTTATACTGTGTTTAAGCATGTACAGTATGAATATATGAATCTTATCATCATGCACTAGGTTTTTATGAATGAAGAATAAATACTAACCATGGGGCCCTACAGCAACAACATAGCAATAACATTTTGATGTGCCCTTCTGGCTAACTATAATTTGTAGCAGCTTGCAGTGTCGAATATTACAATATGTGTCATTATTCTTAACATAAAGTGTGCCTAAATCATGGACGGGTGGCAGGAGAGCTGTGGGCATAGTCATTACTCCACAGCTTAGTCATTACAGTACAAGGGACCAGTTTTCTGGATGAATATGATATATGTAATTG